AGGACACTCACATAACCAGGGTTATTTTTGTGAGAAAGATGATGATAGCATTGATACCCAGGTGCCTTGATGCTACAATCCATGCCTCAACATCATAGCAGTAAGAAAGTTCTGTGTTTGAGTGACTGATGCATTGACCAGCCAGAATCATCACATCTTATCAGGAGGAACTTAGTATGAAAAAACTATTGCAGATTTGTATTGTACTTTCTAAAATCAGAAGGATAAACTAATTTGTAGAAATTAAGTTTCGTTGTTCATTCTTTCATTCACGGTTCAATTCCCACAAACTTAATTGTGTTTTTTATTTATACATTTATTAAAGGCTGAAAAAGAAGCAGAAAATCAACCATGACATTAGTTTACTTAATCAATAAAATGGCTTTTGACTGAACCTGTCCAGAGCTGCCATGTGCGCCCATGTGTGAGTGTGTGTGAGTGCTGTCATCTTTAAGCAATATTGATGAATGTTTCTGCCTCACAGATGTATCTTAATGAAGGCATGGGATCAAAAACAGCAGCTGTGCGCTGGCAGCAAACCAACCTATTAATCTCATGTCATATGCTCTCGTATCATGCTCATTACTAAATAGCATTGCTTTCAGAGGATTCATTGATCCTTAATATTTATGCATTTCCAAGAAAAATAAATAAATTTGCCTAGCAATAGTAGTAGTAATAATAGTAAATTTACACAGTGACACCATAACATTTAAAAATTAATAAAGACATGCTGGTGACATATGGCAGTCAATACAATGGAGCATCTAACATGCTCAGAGGAAGTCAGCAAGGTTGAGGGTGGAGCTACTCTTGCTCATCTCTAAGTTTTTCTCTCTTGTTTTTGTGGCTGTTGTTGACAAACAATCTCTGACATTAATTCATACAATACAATACAGAACAATACAAAGAAGGGGGGTACAATTTTTCTCCCGATGGTTACTGTCTGGACTCCTGTCTGAAAAAGCTGTGCAAATGGGGGCAAAGCTGAGATCTTCCCCTTGAGATATGCTAACCACACCCTGATTTACCTTTATTCCTTATCGTACAAGACATAATAATCTAATCTCAAACTTGGAAGTTATCTGTATGTCTGTCAGTCTGCAGCAATGTTCAGAAAGCCCACTTGTCTTATTAGATATATACCTGTGCCAAGAGGGTGGAATGGCTCCCAGGCGCATTTATTCCTGAAATTGCCTCTGCTGTTATTAAAGCAGGGGTAGCAGAGTATGCTGACTCATTCTAAGAGACGACTGTGTGATTGAATTTTAAATGTGAGTTTAGTTTATTTGAGAGCTGCCTTGACTATGCAGGTGCCAGTTCAAAAAACACTAATATGGCAAGGAATGTATTTGGTCAAATTCCTCCTGATCACTTGGTATCATCTCCTACAAGCAGCCAAACTAAGTAACAGTGGAAGTACCTTGACGTCGGAAGGCCAAACTGAATGCTCAAGTGTGATGACTCACTTCTCATTTATTGGCACTTTCAGTCAAGTTTTTGTGTGCTGCTTACAGTTTTTCTCAGTCGCTTTGGTGCATTTCTCAGATCAGAATTGAAATTCTCAAAACTAATTGTTTAACCTCTACATCATAAAAGCACTTTCTCATTGTTTTGAACAAATTGCAAATGACTTGACACACTGATGCAAATGATTATGTACAATTGTCTGCTGTTTCCTACATTATCAATTGCTTATGTCCTGCTGATCACAATGAATTATACCAGTCTCTGTTGAATAATCTTACCCCCCAAAACATCTAGGCATAAGTTCATTGCATTAGTCACTACATGCAAAATGGTTGAACACGTTATCAAAAATCAAAGTTAAAATACTTTATTCATTTCCTTTGCCTACAAATCATCAACATCACAATAGCAACATACATACCAATACTCAATACGAGTAAACAGTAACAATATACAGTGAGCGAGTGATATATATATATATATATATATATATATATATATATAAAAAGCGAATGTTGTTTTCCCCCGAGAACGGGAATTCATTTTCTCGTGATCACGAGATAACAAACCATAGGTGAATACAGGCGCTGGCAGGTGCGTTTCTTTAGAATAATTTCAAAGCAATTACCAGTGTCACTGGTTATTTCAGTTGGTAGAGCACAGGGCTCAGTTTGATTAGTTTGATTCCTGTTCTTGTTGACTTTCTTTTTCTTCTTTTTTTGTGTATTATCCTCTTCAGCAAAATTGTTATGAAGAGATTGAGGGGAATCCAATCACACATTTCCCAACGGCTATTTCAAAGATTCCGAAAGCCGTCAGGAAATGTGTAACGTTACATGGATTCCCCTGAATGAGAAGGTCTTTCCTCTGCCTGGGAATGATGGGGAAATGTGGACCAAGAATGCGCATAGTCCAGCATAGTCCAGCACGTGCTTTAGAGTAATGTGAGCATGTGAAACAGTTCAACTTTTCATAAGAACTTTGTTGAAGAGGATTATGAAAAATATAAAAAAGAGAAATTTTGTCTTCAGTAAGGATTGAACACAGAACCTTAAGACTATAAGTCCTTTGCTCCACCAAGTAAGCTAACCAATGACATTATAAACTACACTATAATTACCATTATGGTTATCTCGAAATCACGAGAAAATTATCCCATTATCACAGGAAAACGTAGTAAAAGAATATTTTATTAGGGCTTCCGTATGTATATATATGAATGAATATATTGATAGACATTCTATACATGCCTATTTGAATTTAATTTGTAAATGTGCCCCGAATTGATGAAGATATCTGTTGTGATGTGGAAGAGAATCTGTGATACAACAGACCGGAACGTCAGCCAAAGGGATGTACTGTATCCCATGCAACAGTCCTGTCTCTTTCTTTTCTTCTTACAACGACAATGCTCTGTCAACAAATTACAGTACGAACAGTAAAAGCATAGCTCTCTGATTCCTGTCCTCTCTCCTGCAATGTATAACTTTGTACTGGTGAAAGTGATATATGCCATAGAAACAAAGTGCAGCCTTGTGCATTTTCAATCATTGTCATCAAAACCTTAGCCAAAATGTACATCAGAAAATACTTACAGAGTACACTTATATTGACAAGATGGCCAAACATTTTGACTTGCTTGTTCATAAACAAGACACAAGGACTTGTTGTTCTGATGGCACTGACAAGTTCAATGACAAAGATTTGCTTTTGAGAGATAGACTAAGGATTTTGAGCAAGTTATGGGCTTTTGCAGGTAAACCACTGTGTTGTGCCGTTTGTACTACCTGTTTTGAGAAATGCACTTACTGTTTTGCAAATGTTAAGGATGATTCGAGAAATGCACCAAAGTGACTGAGAAAAACTGTAACATCGTCAGACGCCTATTTGACAGTTGAGACAGTAAGGAACACTTATATTACCACATAGCAAAAAAAGACACAATATATCTGTTGAGGGTTGACAGGATTATTGATCGGAATTAATGACTCAGCAATTATTTCAAAATGTGATGAGGTTCCTGTCCTGCAGTTCATGTTTTTTCTCTGTGGTCTGTGGTCTCTGATTTGAAACTGCAGAACTTATTTAAATTGATTGAAAATACAATATAATACAATCCAGTTGGATAACACCACAACCTTCATTCTTAGAAATGACCAGAGAGTTGAATAAACACCTCAGGGGCACAGTCAACAAAAATGTATCATTATAAAGCCTCAGTATGCTTTAAACAAAGTGCTTGTTGGATTGTCTAACATGGACAGAAGTAAACCAATAACTGTCCAAGTTTCTGTGGTTAATTTATACCCATTTATTCACGTTGACCTTCTCTTTTCGTGGACCATACTATACACTCTATAATAACATCACCTGACTTTCACCTCTGTCGCTCAGAATTACGACAGCAACTAGAGGGCTTGGACACTTGAACAAAGTCATTTTAGGGCACTGACTGAAATGAATGATGCTGTTTTTCTTCTTTAGAGGACAGTCTCTATGATTCCAGCCCCTCTTTGTGACAGGAGGGATGATACCCCGCATTTGAGCATGGGCATACGGAACAGCTATAAACACTTTTTCCTTTACACGTAGACGGACAACTACGCAGCTGTGAATTTCTGGTATTTTGTCCACCCCATTGTACTCCACAAGAAAAGCATGGGAGTGTGTAATTCCTACTGGAATAAATGACAGAACTGACCCTTAATTAAAATGCTTAAGATCAAAGCTTAGTACAATATTAATAAGAGTCTCTGTCATTGATTAAAATGCTTCAGACAGATAACTGAAATAGAGTTAGCTTATTGGATGGATGAGGTTTAGAAAATGAGGTGATTGGGTTCTCTTTCACTTTAGTTGGCCTGAAATACATTTTGGGATTACATAAGGAAACTTTTCCTTCTCTGGTTTCCTGAGGTTTATGTGTTTATATTCACCTTCATACTTTCCAGTTGTCCTACAATCAGTCTTTGTATCTTGATGAGTGTACCCAAGTTATTTACAAAACTACTGGTTTACAGCACCCGTAATTCATGCATGAATCTGAAGGATACTGTTACATTCAGCCAAAACACAGCAATCAAGCCAGGAGCCAGATGCCAGATTGTGTCTGAGGACCACCATTATGTGGATATTGCTTTTTTTATAGCAGTGAAATCGAGCAACACTGAAAGAAAAATAAGATTTAAGGGCATGTGTGACAGAGGTGATGTACTTTGTCTTGTACAGCACTGGAATGTATACTTTGTTACACAGTCTAAATTAATATTTTATATATTGACAGAAGTATTCAGCAGAACAGTGACAGCGGCCATGGCTCAGCAGACATGAGTTTCTTCAATTTCTGCGAAATGAAAGAATTAAAAATACCACTGCCCACACTGTTTGATTGGCAGATTATCTGTGGAACATGCAGTGTAGAAACAGAAATGAGTTCTTTGCATCAAAGACGTGGTCAATATCTATCAACACCTATTTTATTCTGCCATAATTATCTCGCCGCATTCAGCCACTCCCATAAACACAGAGTGTTTGCATTTTTATTTTCTTTATTTAACCATTTTTTCTTATTTTACATGACCTGGCAAGAGGAAGACATCCTCTTGAAGGGAGGGACACACAGGGATAGAGGTGTATGAAAAATAAGAACAGGATTGATGACATAACATGAAAAAAAAGTGCTATACACACACACACACACACACACACACAGACACCACCTGGCCGAACAGGTAAGGCAATGCAATGATACAAGAACCAAGTTTTCCAGTTGAAAACAGGGCAGCAAAGGCAACATATGATTATATAGGACCATGGTGGAAGCAGTATGGAACACAATTTAAAATGTTGAGTGAATTACGAAGACAAAGAGGCCAAAAGAATTAAATATAATTCAAAAATTTTTAATAAAAATTAAAACACTGCAGACATCTGAAAAAGGTCTACAAGAGATTTCCTGAAAGCAGATACAGAGATGGAAGTGTCTAGTTTTAAAATCCTTTGAAGGTCATTCCAGTCCAAGGCTGCAGCATGTTGGAATGAGGAGAGACCAAGGGCCGAGTTTGCCTTACACCCTTCTCCTCCTTTTTCCCTGGAGACAGTAGTTTACAGTTTATCATTGTCAGATTGCAGTTGCAGAGTTCAATTCATATAAAATAATCTCATCATAAATTGAATTCCTTTTTAGTTCAAAGAGACGATACAGTGTCCTGATACAAGAGAAGGAGTGCAGGAGCTTTTCACAGCTGAACAAAAATAATTGTGCACCACATGCACAGCACTTTGTGCACCTCTCAGAGCTGCATTACTGCTGGGGAAAAAGTAATAAATCAAAGAGAGGACAGCCTGAAACTCTACTGGCTTGCAATGTCATGTTGCAAACAAAAGACAATCCTTTGGTGGAGGAGTATTGATTTATTGTATTCACCTCGCAAAAAAAGCTTATTTCCTAGTGCACTCCTGATTTGGCTGCATTCTTTCCATTTGTGAGGGAGTAGGTGAAGCATACATCAGGATATAGTGAGATACCTTTACAGTCCTGAAGGATTATAAATGTACTGAAGATTTCTAGCCATTATCCTGTTTACAGTAGTTGATGTAGTCAGTGCAAATGGCTAAAGCACTCAGGACATGCAGCTCAAGGTTATATAAGGCAGGCTTTTGAAAGGATGCAGCTTAGTATGGTACCATGAAAAAGAGAGCAACCTGGCTGCCTCGTGACTGTAATTTTAAACTACACTGTGTTTTCTGTATACTCTCTGAAGGAATATTGTGTTTTGATAAGATGTCTAAACAATAAGCTGTGTAAATTTCTGATTTTTCTGATGATTCTTGTACAGAATGCTAAATGAGTCCAAAAGGTTAAAGAAAAAGTGTATCCAAAACACCCCCATCTTAAGGTTTACTGAATGGCAAAATAAACTGGTGATCCTTCTCATTTCCCTGACATTTATAGCTACCCAGATATCTCCCTCCATATTTGTCGCATTCAGCCACTCCCATAAACACTTAGTGTTTGAAAGTAATTCCACCACTATCAGCACTTGCTGTTAAGTCTATGGGTTTTCAAAGAAACACAGCAAACTGTGGCCATCTCATCAAAATTTCACAGCAATGTAGCCAGGATAAAACTACTAAATTGTTTAATTTCAATCAACCATAAGACTTTTCTCAGCTAGTGTACAACGTTACTTGGTGAAATAACCTCTAAGCCAAATACTCAATATGCATTTCTGGATGATCAGAAGGCTTGGAATCCATTAGCTAGATGTGATAGTGAAATAGATGAGAAAGCATTTTTAGTCTGCAATAACTGCTTGGATGATGGACCCAAATGGCACTGAGCCATCTTAGCTGCCACAGTCTCCATGGAGTCTCCGCTGCCTCTAAACCATCTGGATCTGCCATAATTATCTCTGTAGAAAGTACAGATTCCTCATGAGTGGGGTAGAGATGATGGACTGATGTAAGAACAAGGAGAAATAACACAGTCTTATGTCTCCTGATTTCAACTCATGCTGGCATAATTAGTGTCTCATTTTTTAGACAAGTTCTCTTTTAAAAGTTATATTTCTCATGTTTTTTTAGCCATGCTAGCGCCATGCCACTAGGGACGGCAATGTTGGTCTGTCTGATGGCTCAGCGTGTCCAGACTGAAATATCTCAGCAACTATTGGATGGATTGCTGTGGCATTTGGTACACACATTCACTGTCCCCAGAGGATGAAACTAAAAACTTTGAAGGCCTGTTCTTTGATTTACTGCCATCATAAGGTCAGATTTAGTTGCTTATTCATTACTTACAAACAAATCCTTGCAAAATGACATTCCCACCAACCCTCAGCTGTGCTTTGTGTGTAGTGTTTATTAGCAAAATGCTAGCATGCTAGCACACTAAACTAAGATGGCACATCAACATGCTAGCATGTGAGCATTTAGCTCAAAGCAACACTGTGCCTATGTACAGCCTCTCAGAGCTGTATGAGTCTTGTTTTTATTTATTCCATTGTGAATATGTCTCCTTTTTCTGTCTCCTGGTGTGACTGGCTTTTTAATTCAGCTATAACCAAAAGATCAGAGAGGGCTGGCAAAGGTTGCACTCTACCAAGATACCAAGAGCCTTTTGATTTTGCTACTTTTTCATGTCTGACATACCATAAAAGGAAAGGAAAATTCCCTCACTTCTCTTGTCCACGTGGATGGCTGGATAAGTAAATTCCTTTAATCCTCAGAGCAGGTGAGACATTCAGAGAATATAGAGAAAAGGAGTAGAAAAGCCCCTGTCACAGTCTACCATGTTGTCAGGTCAAAGGCCCTTTGAGAAGTCCAGGCCACTGAAGTGCTCTGCAGCTTGTTATCGCTTCATGCTCAGTGTGGGCTGGTGGTCAATGAGTGAAGCCAAAGAGCCAAGAAGCTGTCAGTGAGGGTCAGCCATGACACCAACTAGACACATAAGTCATTCCTGTGGTTCAGCTCTAAGGCAGTGTTTTAAGCTAGTGTCACACACACTGGATACAGCATTTACAGTATTTCCTCTTATGCCTCTTGATTTAAAAACTGAATCAACAACCACAGCTTAAGTAACCTTTGAGCAAGACTCATAACTCATAAATGTGTTACAACCCATGTGACTCTCCAGGGGAAGGAGGGAGGAACACATGTCTACTTAACTTGGATGTCCAGAAACTAATTCAGTTTCTTTAAGTGTAGGCCTTAGGCTTTTTATTTTTTTGCTCTTGTGATACATCTGTACAATAGTGAAGAATGAAATAAACATAAACACATGTAGAAGGTTAAAGTGAAAGTAGTGAAAAGGAAACCTACCATACTATTAATATATATATATATATATATATATATATATATATATAACGTGAGTGTGACAATATAGTACATATAGGACAAGCAACAGGTAAGACAAAAGTAAAAGATATGCACATCTCAAGGCAATACATATAAGGGCATCATAATGACCATAATAAATAGCACAAACATCAATGTTACTGTATTAGTACATGGTAATGTTTAAATTGGGCATCAACACCAATGGACAACAACATTACCACAATCCTCAGTACAACCACTGTCCTATTCATCAACATCAGACATCTGATCGTCAGCCATAATGTTCATGAAAAAACTTCACCACAGCAGGCACCAAGGACTTCCAAAATCTCTCTGAAGAGCACCTGGGCATAACAAACCTGCTGCTAAAAGAGTTCTTCAGCTCTCTAAAAACATTGTGCATTGGATGATCCTCATTTTGCATAACTCTCTTGAGCTTTCTACCCATTCTAATTTACTCTGACTAAGCCCCAAACAAGACACAGATGGTGCCACTTTTACCTATAGTGTGTTTAACAGAAGTAAAACAACGATGTGTAAAGCAGTGCAGGTACTTCTATCCAAAAACTGACAATTTTTTACATTAACTCAGAAGGGCTAAATAGTCAGGGTTAGGACCTTGGACAGTTCCCTCTCCACTGACAGCAGCAGGGCAAAGTGAACAAGTGAAAGGTCCTGTGATATTGGTAATAAAATATATGTCAAATCAATTCCATACAGATATTCAGTAAATCCAACTTAATTCTGGCCATAAGAACATTTGAATAATTGTTTAATATATTTTAATCAAAGGTTTAGTACTTTAAATGTATTTGGTTTATTTAATATTACATGACATTACATGGATTATTTTACGGTGCATTTTCTGTTTGTGGTCCTCAGCATTTGGGATTGTTAAGCTCAGATGTTTAACTTGGCCTTCATCGACTAATTAATTCCCCACGCTTCCCATAGAATTTCAAAAGAATTCTCATCTCAAGACGAAAATGTCAGACGCTGTCCTTTACAAGTGAAATACCTTTAATAAAGGTAATTATACAGCTCACATTTTCCCAGAACTAGAAGCACTATACTTTTTCAGAACGCAGTCTTGCTTCTATAGTCTCTTCTCTTTTATCATTTCATCACATTGTCTTTTGAACACAGTTTTCCTGTGGTCCACCTCCACAAGCATTACCTTATGTTGCTACTTAATTAACAACACACTTTGTTGGTGATTTCACAAAAACATGTTATGAAAAACATGTAGTACCAACATTCACTCACATTACAAAAGCTAAAATGTTTTTTATACTTTGTCAAACTGAACAAATAATATAATGATTGAATGTTTTTCACAAAAATAATCATCATGTCTCAGTCTACTGAGAAAATGACTTAGATCTTTATTGAGTGAACCTGCAGAAAAACTAGGCAGACATATAGTGGCAAAAAGGAATGTAAAGATGCTGTGATAGGTTATTTCGCTTATTGCCTGGATTTGGAAGGAATTCAGTGTTTTGCACTGGGAGCTCACTTCAAGAGGGCAGAGGTTTGCCAGCACGAGAGCTTGAACCCCGCTGCTCTTGTTGGAGGATTGTTGAACTACTTTCCTCCCCACCCTGCTGTCATGGAAGAATGCTGGCAATTGTTCAAGCAATGAATTACTACTGTGCACAGCTTGTCCCCTCCTGACAGCACACTGAAGCCAGTTTGAAATGTGGAAAGAAAATTCAGAAATGTTCTCTGAACCTGAACTTAAGAACGACAGCCTTGAGGAAGAATAATACGAAAAAACAGGCTGTCTAAATCGAAATGTAACAAGATAGTCCAATGCTTGTCACAGTGCAGATGGACAGTGACAGGTCAGAGAAAACAAGCTGTATAAACATGATTACTCATCAGTCATGCAACATATCAGCTTTCAGGGGAGCAAATGGCTTGTTATCAATTTCATCATGCTGAACAACAAAAACAAAAGCTGTTATCTCTGCTTTTGGTTTTAACCTTTGCACAGGGGAAGAGACTACCTGTTATTTAAAACATCAATTCAAGTTCCACTGCTCCCCACTTCCCACCTGGATTGGGTTGTGCCAACTATTCGTAAAACCATCACTAAGTTTGTGTTGGAAGTCCTTCGTAAGTTCTTAGTAAGTACTAGCTCATTTTAAACTAGTGATTTACTGAACTGTATTGCATAATCATTTTCATGTTACTTATATTTGCACTGTGAATGTCTGTACATTTGATGACAAACCATCAGATATT